GGTGATGGCGCAGCCGATGGTAGTGGTGGTGGTGCGGTGATGGTGGTGGCGGTCGACTGATGACACGTGTTTGCGCTACTGCCGCCATGCAATTAGCCTCCAATGTAATTTCGCGCCTGTAAGAGCGTGCCACGCTCTTTTGGCCTAGTGCCGTTCCCGCGGGCGCATCGGTACAAGGGTATTACGAAGAGGGAAGTGATTTCGTCCAGGACACGTAAGGAAATTCGAGCCTCGTGCCATTCTTCGTATTTTCGTGTCCGGCGCTATTTTTGCATATCGCATATATCGCGCGCGCAACGAGGTGTTTTGCAATTCAAAAATTGAAAAGTCATTTTCAAGATTAACACATTCCGCTATAAATATTTGTGAATATGTATATCAAATTTTGAAAAAAAAAAAATTAGACCATAGAGATCCATAGAAAAGAAAATAAAAGTGGCAAATATGAATGCTGACAATAGCGTGAACAGATATGCATAGAGGAAAAAAAATTTCAACATTTATATATATCGTGTATATTCCTATATTCAAACATATTATTTCGTGAGGGATATTACCGCGATGGGATAGCTTTGATGTGAGCGTACAATTGTAGTTGCATGCAACAAACCTATAGATATTTCAAATTTGACCATAAAAACTCCGCTATATCTAGAAGGCTGTTATCATGTAATACAAAATAGAGTTCTGCGTATACTTTATTTCTCATATATTATTAAAAGTTTTATGTATGTGTTACTCAAAGTCCGTATTTTCTATTTTTGTGTTCATTAGTTTTTGTTTATTAATTTCATTTTTTAAATAATCGGTAAAAATAGATATCTAAAATTTTACTATTACTATTGATAATTATTACACATAATACACATAAACTAAAGTCATATATTCATTTCTCGAAATATCGAAAAATATTCACACTGTCTTCAGTATTCGCGTGGACAATTATTTATCGGTAAAATTGTGTAATCAATATTACGTTTTCTTCAGCGTATCGAAAAAGAGTGCTCGCGTAATTAAAGCACCGAGTCCGTACACTGACGAAACGTGACGCAATGTTAATAGATGGGGTATTATCTAGCGACTAATATCATTGTAGACGATAACCACGCTCAAGACAGTAATTGTGCTCGCTCTGACTGATTAAGTATAATTATAATCCAGAAAGAAATGTCTCTAGGTCACTGTGCTAGGATGACAATCAACGGGTTCCTGTTTCAACTGTTCCGTGTCATATATATTTCTAAAATTTTACCGAAATCTCAAAGACAGATTTATTCCGCATTAGTTAGAAAAAACATTTTTATTTAATATTAATAATAAAATAAAGAGAATTAAATAAAGTTATAAATTTTCAAATTCGAATTAATAACATCGACGTAAAAAATATAGACTGTTTGCAATTGGCTTTAATTTATATGCACACAATATCGTTTTATAAATAAAATCAAAAGCACGATATATATGTATATGTACATATATTAACATAAAAAAAAAGAATGTTCACAATAAAAATTCATCAGCCAAAGTACGTCAACTTTCATAGGAAATATCGCTCTTACTCGTTTATCATCAGTCATTCATAAAATAAACCATCAACCAGACGGTGCATAATGAAAAGTCATTTATTTTAATCACGAATGTTAAAAAGGCGACGGAATGATATTCAATTACAAGAAGATTTAATTAAATTAATTACACTGATACGTGTTACACGATATTGATAGTCAATGAGTGCGTAAGTACGGATGGTCAAGACTACGCGCTAACAAGATCTAATCTAAATCTGCCCGTTCACCCGATTACGTATTCGTAGATACTATTGGGAAAAAGTCTATTTCATTATAAATTGCATTTTATACTAAAGTTAGACGCCCTTGCTACATTGCTGTATTAATATTTTCTTATGGTTTTTATTTGGATACAAATTTGTAAATCGTAGCGTGAATCGACATAATTATTATTCAAACGCATCGCATAATTATTGTGTTACGAATCTTTGGAATTTAATTAACAACAATCACATCGAAATTGTTGTCGTTAAAAAAATATGGTCAGTTTCATTATCGATACAATTGCGACGGTGCATATGACAATAAAAGAAAAGAAAAAAAATTGCGCCATTCGTATGACAACTTTATGTCTGTCTTTATCTTTTTATGTTCACCGGCGATCCATTTTCTTCGTGACGAGTTGATAAACAGAGCCAAAGACGTTTTTTGCTTCCAAAGATTGCGACAATATTCGCGCGATCGATACTGATAGTACAATGATAAAAAAATTAAATCTAGCTCGATTTTAAATATTATTCTGCATGAATGATTCGACACGAAGGAAATGAATCATGTGGCAGCCCGATAAATGTCATGAATTGCGAGTTATATGAATATTAATATATTGCGCATTCTTTCGTTTTTTAATAGCATTAGTATGTTAAATTTAATATATGTTTTGTTTTATTTATTATTATGTACATTGTCATTTTCATTAAATAATTAGAAATAGTGAAACAGTTTTCTCTCTTTCTCTTAAAAATAAATGCAATTTTTATGAGGCATGCGACTGATTATCGACAGCTGCCTGAGATTCAAATTAATATAAAAATAAATGTGCATGCCGACACGACTTTGATGACTGATTATTCTTAATGACTATGAGATAACTACATTATAAATTTAAAATGAGCCGACAGAGTTGATTATCAAATATAATAAATAAAACGTGTCATGCTTTTATTAAATTTTTAAAAAAGTAATCGAGCTTATAAATTTTGAGAAGTAAAAACTTTTCGAGATTCGAAATATTGAGAAAATCGAATAAAATTCTTTGAAAAATAAAAATTTCAAATGTTTATTATATATTAAAATACTCTGTGCTAAGTCTCATAAATCATAGGGCAAAACAGAACTAAGGAACGTAAACATCGTTTGTTTATAATGATTTATTAGATACAAGATCGATCGTTCACTAGTAAAATGGATATTGGGTACCACATAACTTTTTTCATAGTTTGTTGCCTATCTATGAGTCAAGAGGACCTAAATAAAAATCGAAACTGATATTACGAAAATTAACTGTAATTATTTTGTAGCACGTGTATCAATAACCAATAACAACTCGTGTTGGCTTTCTCTCTCATTGTACTAGCATTTATTTTAATTTCACTAGTAAAATGGATATTGGGTACCACATAGCTTTTTTCATAGTTTGTTGCCTATCTTTGAGTCAAGAGGACCTAAATAAAAATCGAAACTGATATTACGAAAATTAACTGTAATTATTTTGTAGCACGTGTATCAATAACCAATAACAACTCGTGTTGGCTTTCTCTCTCATTGTACTAGCATTTATTTTAATAAAACAAGCTGAAAGTTACAATTTGTATCGTAATCTCTGCATTTTTGTATTTCAGACTGTCAGTCTTCGGAAGATCATCCACGATGAAATAATCCGTCTAAGCTCAACTCAACTCTCAACAATCGAGACATCGAATACTCAACAATTGGAATGTCACTCGTCTCTCACCTCGCGTCACAGTGAGTTTGATAGCTCAATGAATCAAACCAAATTCGAAAGAGGATAACAGCGCGATTCTGCGGCACGCTGGATGATCTTTAGCCTTCTTGGAGTATATCTCCAACGATATCAGTCGGACCCAATATCCTACGAACGAACGGACTTCCCCGGGCAGGCAGGTATACAGAACACCTCAGCGCATCGTCGGTCGCCCCGAGGGCGACCGGGTAGACGTAGGCGCGGTTGTTCTTCAGCGACACCCATGTGGATACCATAATGGCCTCCGCAACTCCAATCGCCGTTGCAGAGTTTATATATGCTTGGTGGGGAACGGCACAACGCGCCAATCGCAAACGCGCCTGGCACCCTTCACAGGCTTTGCCTTGAGTAGCGCCGACTGTGGCGACTGTTGGAAACGGTGAACCAGGCTCCGGGGAGCGGCTCGGGCTTCATTATGTATCATTATACCGGTCCGCGTCGCGCGGTGTGCACTGCAGTTACTGGAACCAGGCGCGCGTGTGTGCTTTTCTCTCCTCTTCTATACGCCCTGGTCATCTCGTCGTCTTCTTCTTCTCTTACCTTCTTCGTCCAGTACGTGCGCGTATACGAGTCGAGCGTGGCACGATACGCTCATCGGCATCAAGTGTAATCGTGGCGCGACGCGCGTAAAAAGCACACCGTCGCCGAGGAGGTGCGCGAGCGGGCGCGCGCGCGTGTCGCGTAGTACGACGTGTAATTAAATCGGCGACGGGCGCGAGTGTTGGAAAATACGAAGCTGCGATAGAGTACATCGATCTCTTGGTCGAACGGATTGTTTTTGGTCATCATCGCGCAAACGTCCTCCGTCGCGCTGATGTGATCGCGGACTGTTGGTCGCGGCGGCGTTTGGTGACGCTGGAGGTGCGCTCAAGGACTGTGCCCAAGTGATTGTTGAAGTGACGTTCCGTTACTCGTATCACGTTGTAACGCGAGTGTAGAGGACCGATATGCCGACGGCCTGGTCACGACTTTGTGACGCATCTCCGTTTGGAAGCCGAGTGACGATGATGAGCTGACGCACGGCAACCGGACAGTAGCGTCGACCACGGACTCTCTCTGGCTTTGTAATAGTGCTTTCGCGAAAAGTACGCGTGTGAAGTGGACGAGTGTGACAAGTGGTGTCCGAGCTAAGAAACGAAAACATCCGAGCGACGGATGAGTGTGACGGCTCACATGTAGCAGAGACTGCTCCGAAAAGTGAATACTCTCTCGATACCGCACACAGTGAAGGAAAGGAACGAAACATCGTGATAGTGCAACTTGGCAAAAATAATTCAGTGCGAACAATCGAACGGTATTCAATTTCTACGCAGTGAAATTTAAAAATTCAGCCGGAACAAGTTGCCCGACGGCAGCGGTTACTCCTCTCGCGATCCAATGTCGACTCGCCCCATTTACTCTGACACTTGGTCGACATAGTCGTACGCGCTCAGTGTGCTCGTCGTGTGGCGACGACCACGTCGTCGGCGAGTTTGGCGAAGATCGTGGGCTGTGGCGGCGGCATCGACGTCGTGTCTAAGGTGGAGCGTCCGGGCAGCACGACGACGCTCAACTTCACGGACCTGGGGAGCCCATTCGGGGCGGGCGACCCCTGTCCGTCGAGTACCCCGACCCCGAATAGTATGTCGGGCGGTGGTGGACCGACCGGCGGCAGCGGTGGAGGTGGCGGTGGCGGCGGCGGTGGCGCCGGTACCGGAGGCGCCAATTCTGATATGGAGCAGCATCTTCATCACGCGGGCCTTGGCTCGGTGACGCCCGGGCCACCCGGTGGAAACGGCAGCGACAGCACGACGTCCAGCACGCCGGTCTCCCAAAGCGGCAAATCCGCTTTCATCGAGCTCCAGCACAATAACCTCTATAATCCGGCGAGTCTTCGAAGTGGTTATCCAGGCGGGCATAATGTATCCGCGCATCAGTTCTCGCACCAGGTCGGCTCGCTGGCCCACCAGGGCTCCGGACCTGGCAGCGGGAATCAGCAGCACGCGGACGCGGGCTTCCCCAGTCCTAGATCCGCGCTGGCCGGATATCCGTTCGCGCCCATGCACCAACACAACGCCTACGGATATCACCTGGGATCGTACGCCCCCCAGTGCCCCTCGCCGCCCAAGGACGGTGAGTACCCCAACTGTATGTATTCGCAGCCTTTTTTACATTTCTATTAGCATATAAGTCTAGTTTATTAGATCGCGGATAATTCTCTGTTCCATGCATCGACATCGTCGAATCGGATCGCCGTGCTTCGTGTCAATAGTAAAATTGTGAAGAAAATATGATTACGTAGCAAAATTAATTTCGTGCTCGTCGGTGTTGAATTGCTACGATGAATTCCATAGTGAAAACGTTTCCGCGAGAGTGCAAAGTGTCATCATGGAACGGAGATACCATCAAAGGGCTCAAGGCGAAAGCTTATACGTAATTGACGACGTAACAAAATTGATGATACTATAAGAATTTCTCTTGCTAATTATGATCGGAGAAACGCATCATGGTCATAGACAAATTTGCTTTTAATTCAATAATCAATAATCTGGCATAATAAATCAAAAGTTTTATAATGTCGTTTTTCGAAAGGAGATAGATTAAAGATTCGGAATTAAATGCACTCCTGAATATTAACTCGGATATTCACACACCTTGAGCCTTATATTTTAAGTATAAATAGATAAGAGAGATTTTTTGAACTCGTCCATCATTAATACTAATAACGACTTCAAGTTGCGAATATCGTGTCAGCGTTATAACATTTGTCAAGAATGATACGGTCACCTTGACACGAAACAGAAATAAGATGGCGACAGGCGTTTCCGGTGGGTCACCTGTATCCCGCGCGAGCGTTTTATTATATTACGACTTTATTGTATGTGGCCGCGGGACTTTTATTGCCCTCGCCTCCTACCCCCCGCTTGGTGAACGTCTTAATCCGCGTTAGCGAATTTCCGTGCGACAATAAACGCGGAACGCTTATGTCTCCGCGGCGTAAGCACAACAGATGCTGTTTCGCTGGGTTTTGTTCGACATAGAAAAAAGAAACTGGCCGCGTTTACCGCGATTTGCTTACTTGGTTCCCGCAGTTCGCGATTCCGTCAGCCCTGTTTTACATTGTCGATTTACTCGCTCGCATCGTTACCCTTCCGCATGTGACATTTTAGAAAGTTCACTTTATATATATGACATTATTCTCATAATTTTTATCTCCATCCTATATAAGAAAGATTATCAACTTTAAAAAACACTCTAAGAAATCGGACGTGAAAGTTTTTATAAGTAAACAACGGACATATCTGTACGTTAAAATCGATCCATTCACACAGACACACAACTTTCTTTTTTTATATTTAAATGTATTCCATTTTTAAGCTCGTATGTTTTTCATGAATGAGATAGTTAATTTATCGATACAATTTTTACTCGCAGGACGTAATTTAAACGAAGATTCTCGGGATAAAAATAAAGGTAGAAAACACGAGGTACAAAAAAAAAACTTAGAGTAGCAGGTAGTAGCAGCCGGTCGACGCCCTAGCTATGTCACAGCACAATGAAACGGAATAAGATATATGACTAAGAATCTTAGGGATCTAAAAAGTCCCGCAAAGCGGCTAACGAACGAGACAAAAAGATTCGGGACCAAACGGGAGCAGTCACGGCTTCTCTTCTTCAAGAGCTCTCGCTCGTAGAGGTTTCCTCCCGATCATCTCGTTTTTTTTCTCATGTCTTTACTTCTCAGAATCGCATTAGCGCGATGTAATCGCGATTTTTGTCTTGCGCGCGAAATCACGAGTCAGTTAATTGCGATTATTATCGAATTCGCCCCTGCCTTGTCGCGGATCGCGAAATCGCTCGAGACATTACACTCTTCTTCAAGAGCTCTCGCTCGTAGTAGTGGTTTCCTCATCATCTCGTCGTTTTTTTTCTCATGTTTTTACTTCTCAGAATCGCATTAGCGCGATGTAATCGCGATTTTTGTCTTGCGCGCGAAATCACGAGTCAGTTAATTGCGATTATTATCGAATTCGCCCCTGCCTTGTCGCGGATCGCGAAATCGCTCGAGACATTACACGATGACATTACGATATAATCGATGAATATCTTTGTAAATACATTGTCGTTGGAATTCGAAAAAAAAAAAACTAGCTATTTCAAGATAATCATTCAAGATTTTTAGCCATAGAAGAGTCACAAATAATACAATTAATTTAGATCGCGTATACTGATAATGTTATAAGTTGTCTTATCATATTTCATTGAAATTGTCATTTTATTTGTCCGCATGCATGTACATCTTTGACGCAGTTCTCTCATAACATGAGCCTATTGTACGTACACATCCGCATCGCGAAATCGCGTGATCGAGATAACTTATTTTGCCCGAGAGAAAGTCCGCGCGTGCCGTTTAGCTCCACGCGGCGACATTTGCGCGCCGGTTTCTCGGTCGATTGCATTTTCAAATATAGTCCGGGTTACCGTCTGGAAATATTCCGCCACATCCATGGCAACATTTGGCGAATAATTTATCGCGGCTATGTGTGTGTAGAGCAACGAGGAGCTCCGTCGGCGCGCGCTTAGGCAAACGCGCTTGCGGAAGAGACCGGATAGCGCGGCGACAGTTTGCTACTACCCTCCGTTCGCGCCCCATGAATTCGTAACGTCCACCATCGCGGCATATGGCAATCTCCTGGGGAAGTCCGTGCATTTCTACGTAATCCGCCGCGAGGCACCCCGACCTTCTCGTGCACGCAATTTTCGTGGCGCCTCTCTCGAAAATTGCCGGCGAGCTTTCCCAACACACGCGGCGAGGAGAGAATCGCGAAAGGGTTTTCCGCGGAAAAACTTTCCGTCGAGCGGGAGGAATCCCGCGAGCCAACACGCGGCACGATCGGGGGCGCAATTCCTGCTCGCGGCGAGCGATCGCTCGTCAGGGGGTTGAATTCTCACGCACGGGGAAACTTGCGTTTCGCCCTTAAATTACCGGTCATTTTCCTCCGCAACTTACACGCGGCTCGCTTTTTCATAAATCGTATGGTAACGAAACGCATTATTTCCGATCCGCTCCGCGAGCTGCATCGTGGAAATTTTATCGAAGGGTTCGCATAACTTCAGTAGTTATGCGGAAAAAATTTCTCGAGCGGGAGTTATGTACCGTTACAACGTTTCGAGTACAAGACTTATTGAAACTTGTCACATTTCTCTGAGGCATTTTTTTATAGAAACAACAAAAGAGCGAACGCGAGTGCATAGTGCGACAATCATTAATATTGTGGCCATCAACAAGGTCAATCGCGCCGATTTAATCAATTGAATGATAAATACAAAATCACAATTGCGATCCGTCTAACTGCTAATGAGCATGCCATACTATTTGTGCATTCCGCTCAGACAATAAAAGCGATTCTGTCTTTTGTCCATCTGAACACGACGCGCAAAGTTGCGATTATTACTGAGCGATTTTGATTATCCAATTGAAATAAAGGTGACACGGTAATTGCGCAAATTTTACACGCGTATTATATAATATTAAACGCGCATCCACATGCAATTGATTCGCAGCACAATTAAACGCTTGTTTTTAACATTGCAATTTGTCATACAATTATAAAAATTCAATCGGAAAATAGTTATATGAATATTAAAATTTATGTTTGGAATGAAAATAGAAAATGGCAAGGAATGGATAAGAATTCTTAACATTTTTATTAAAATGTATTAATTAATACGCGCGGAGTCATCGATCGAGCCAATAATCGCTGTCGTTCTATTTGGATATTCTATTTTTAATAGAAAAATTATTGCTTAGGATATTGATTCCGCAAACATGATATAACGGTGGCATCTCGAATTTTCTTAACTAAATCATTTGCGCAGAGTCTTTAATCGATCAATAATAATAGTCGCTCGATTCTCACAAGAGATTCAGTAGGAAAATCATCTTTTGCGAGATACGTAAACACACCTCGTGTCTTATTCGATGGCCCGAATTTTCTGAGAATTCCTAATCTCTCTCTCGCGCGCAGTCTCTAATTCTAAGAAAGGCACGCTCGGCTTTCGTGAACTCTGTATGTTTGTAGATAAGAGTTAAATCAAAATATATGACACTTTTGATACTTTTGTGCAACTTTTAATGGTTAAAGTGTCGCGTAAAGTGTGAGTATTGTTTATCATTCACATGTCCAAACTGTCATGGAATTTCTTATCGCGTACTCGTACGTTAACGTCAATCTAATAACTCATATAAATTTATTTTGTATATTAGTTATTTACACAAGTTTACGATTATAATATCAATGTTACAAATATTTTCTTGAAAATCAGTTCATTTAGCTGTGATGTCGGCATTATCACGGTTATTCGCGGTGTTTTTCTATTTCAGAATCCTAATGAAATTGTCCGATATAAGTATATGAATATAAACGACAAGCCGCGAGAATGTAAAGAAAAGAATTGTCGATGTATACATGGTTGATCCATGGCAAATATATTATATTTGTGACATGTTTTGCGCCATCGGCGAATCTTATCGTTGCGTCAAGTATAAACCAGCTTGTCGTCGCATCTGCATCACGCCCGTTGTCCTTGTTCCCTCGAATGAACGAACGTAGTTGAAGCTCGAATCCAATTAGCGGGTGTTTCTCTCATATCAGACGAGGCGCCCGTCGGTATCTCGCATCAGTCACCTGACCTGACGCCTGACGTCCGACTGCCGCCCGACTTAATCCGGAACGGTCGAAAGACAATGCTTACCCGGGTCCGAGTGATGGATTAGGTATTAAATGATTGTTTTCATAAGGATTAGGTAGAGGTATACCGACCTGAGGAGCACGCGGCTTGGCTTCTTTGAAATCCCGCCGAGCTATGGTCGAATCTTACGGATCGTTCGGATTTGTATGGAAGTCGTGTTTTCTCAGCAGATACATTCCCAGATATATTTATCAGTTATATATGTGCTCTCTCCATGGAGCTGCATTATTAAAATAACAACTAATATTGAAATATTAAACAATTTGAATAAATGAATCTCGCATACTAAATATGTCGTGGAAAGATTCGAATAATACATATTTTAGCACGCGTATATATTTGTGTATTATTGCCGAAACAATAATATACGAATATATATAAGTAATAATTGATGATAAAAATCATGACATACAAAACATTAATTGCTCTTATTTAGATTAATAGAAATTGTTTTTCACCGAGAATAATATACAAATAATAAAATAGCGTATAATCACAAAATAATGTAATAAAATAGTTTATTCAAATATTGTGAGTTAGTTCAATTCTAAAATATTTGAATAATGGAAAAATGGACATTTTTCTAGCTACACCGAAATACAAAAATAAACTTATGCATGCTTTTACATAATTTGTTGCGCGCAGTGTGGTAGCGATATAGAAATACAAGATGTCGATTCAGCGACAATGTTAGACAGGTTGTGTTAAGTCCAGCCTAGGGCAGTGACGGACACCTTGTAATTTCAAGTTCTTTGGATTGAGAGCCGCGCGCCTACCGTGTGATTATCAACGTCGCATTAATCGCTCGGTGGGCTTATTATCATACGTTTGGTTGGGTTTGATTATGTGACTCTAAAAGAACCTTCAGCGGTGCTAGGCGGTTGAATACGCGCGCGTGTAACCGCGGCAAAGTAACACTTTGCGGCAGTTTCTGCCGCTGCCGCGCATTTTGCATACGCCTCGGTGTTAACAACCGTAGTCTATCCTCTCTATCGTACCCCTCTGGCAATGCGAACTCTCGGAGAGCGGCGAGAGAGAGAGAGAGAGAGAGAGAGAAAAAAATGCAGTAATAAAACAGTACCTCGGTCTTTTCACGCGTGCAAGGATACTCTCCGCCCCGGTCGACATCGCGTCGCCTTAACCGGCTGTAATTAACAACGGGAGCTCGTAATCCCTGCTAACGCCTCTATAAAATTTATTGCACACTACTTTATGTGGCGTTGATACATCGCGCGACAATATTAACCGTTGCATCATGATAGAAAAAATATTTATGACAGTATTGATGGATTATAAAAAAAATATTCTAGTCTGTTGATATAAAGTACATTATACTTTTCTATTTGTTTTATCTGACAATTTTTTGAATTGATTTTAGCTACATTTCAATTATTTTATCGAGATGTCAAATATATATAAATAAAAAGTAGCGAATAATTTATATATGAAAATAAAATATGCGTTTAAAATATGCATTTAAAATATGAATAGTCAAAAAAGTATACATTATTTATAAGAAGAAGAAGAAAAGATAAAAATAGTCAATTTAATTTACTTTTTGTCATATCCTCGCGTTGTCAAAGAAGGTGTATATACCGATATTAAAGATTGTACACGCCTGGTATCGCCTCGAAATTGCAACGGGGAAGATAAACACGAGCGTAAACACGCTATTTCATCGCCGCGTCGTAATGTAACCTCGCGGAAAGTTTATGGGGGATCATTATTGTCTCTTTTACGCACGATCAAAGTCCGTCCTCCCTGTTGGCTCTGCATCGATCGGCTCGCATCTTGTCGATCTTCTCTCGTTCTCTCATCGTCGAGGTGACATGCTCATATATAAATCATGTAGAATCACGCGTGCGTGCACACACTCGGCGGTTTGTTTCGAGTAAATTACTCTAATTAATAGTCGTATTAATTGTCACGTAGAAAGGGGGCTCTCGCGCTTCGCTTCCAATCGTCGCATCGCTTTGTCTCGACGTCAATATCTCCGTTTTTACTCGCAACGTCAATCGCTCATCGGCTTTGATGGCCTTTCCTCTCAACTTGTGTTGAAAATCGCTCGACAAAACGCAGCTATCGTCGTAGTATAAAAAATGTCGATGGCTGTTCTCTCTCTCTCTCTCTCCTGGGAAGAACGTGCGCGCGCGATGAAAACACGCAACATGATAATCGCGATATAAAAATAATGAAACAGATTCTACGCGAGATAGGCGGCGCGGACGCTGGCACGATGCGCACCTCTATCGCGAGCTCTACGCTACTTCATTGCATCGCTTTAAGATTGATATATGGCTCCGTAATTAATTATCGCGCCGTTAACGCACCGCAGGGCTTTTTCTCTCGGTGTTGTGTAGGGAGGCCGCGCATTTTCTACACTGTGCTAATTATCTCAATTCATAGTATGCGAATTGAATAATGCATTTATTTTATCAGATAATTACGCACAGCTTATCGAATAAAATATTCCGGCTGTGTTTATGCTATTGTTTCCCTTTCTTTGCCTTTCGAAAAAACGGCGCATCACTTCCGTTAATTTCGAGACTCTTTGAGCGCTTCGGTAAACGTCTTTTACTTTTTACGCGCATTCTCGTATAAAAGTCTTTCAATCAGAAAAATGTCTTGTAATTAAACATTTAATGCGATGTTTTATCGCGTAAAAAAACATTTCACACAAGATAATTTTTCTTGTACACAGAGATTCATTAAATAATCCAAATTCTTAACTATAAGATAACAACTTTTTTTAATTTTTATTATCAACAACGTTTTTCTCAACTTTCTTGCATTATGATATTTTTTACGATATTTTATATCGGAAATTCGTGTTAAATAATCAACTTTTCGCTATTGTTGTTGCAATATATATTATCGAAATACGGGTTAGGTTTTAGTTTAATTTTATTTTTAGTTTGTACGCAAGCAATGAAGAGGATTCTGAAAGTTGATGTTAGGGTGGTGCATGTTCGCAGACCTCTCGCCATTAGGTGATAAAGGCGGTAGCCTCGTCGACGAGCTAGGCGGCGGCGGCGGCGGTTCCCTCAGGAACGGCAAGGGCAAGAAGATGAGGAAACCGAGGACGATTTACAGCAGCCTGCAATTGCAGCAGCTCAACAGGCGGTTCCAGAGGACGCAGTACCTCGCGCTACCGGAAAGAGCGGAGCTCGCGGCCAGCCTCGGACTCACGCAAACACAGGTCAGTTCTATAGGCATATTAAAAGACTCTAGAGCGCGCGCTTCCCACGACGCAGTAGCGCAACGATAAATGGCTCTTATCTCGCGCTACTGGCGACAGGATAGCATAAACAAATTATGATAAACGTGAATGTAGAATATAATATTTTTTAAATTATTTAGCTTCTACGTGCTAAAATGCGCCATTTATTTTACACAAAGCAACAGTAATTATTAAATATTATTAAATAAATTGTCTTTATTTTAATTTAAATTTGATGAAGTACGTAGAGAATTATTACAATTATTCGAACATTTATCGTGATACGATAGCGAAAACCACTACGATGTAATGCGTCTTCCGTGATGGAGAAATTTTTTCTTTCTACGAATTTTGCGTAGAACTTATTGAAGTCTTAATTTATATATATGACAGTCCACGTGACAGCATGTTTTCACCGAACGATAAAATATCCGGGACATATATTTCCACGAGTGAAACAGGTTTTCCACTCCGAGATATGCATTATCAGGAAATGTCGTGGAAAGACTTCTTGAAATTATATAAACGAGGTAATTCTGTCGATGAATAACAACACATCGTATCGAAGCTAGTTGTTTTGTCCGGGTAATTACAGAAATCTCGCGTCACGTCTAGAATTTTGAGTTTTATTGAGACGATAACGCCGCGATACTCTTCGCGATTGACGCGATGGATAGATCCGGTTATGTATACTCGGTCCACCGAGTAACGGGAGCCACCGATAAACGGCATCTGTCAGCATTATCGGCACAAATGACTTTAGTAAATCACTGATTCGCCACGCCCTGGACATTGGGGATAGGGTTGCCGCCAGTGTCCAGTGTATCGAGGCGGGGAAAGAGAGCGAAAGAGACAAGTTTGCGAACTAACGAGGCGGCCATAAATTTTCTCTCGGCGATCGCGCGAGTTTTGCGCGAGCTTTCCACGCAGGCAAAGGCTTTATGCGCTCGTCGCCCGGTTTCCAATTAACGATTTATTAGAAAGATCGAGCTACATAATCGGAGAGAAGTTAATTAGATCTGATCCTATCCGGAACCGAAGCTAATTAAAACGTTTTCGCGACAATTTGAATTTATTCGGATCGACTTGCGTATCGCATTGGCAGTTTATTAGACAGTTTATTAAACAGTGAATATCCTCGTAAATTATATAAGTGTCCTTTTTCGCTATTCCTATCGAATTGCATTCTAACGAAATAACAAGTTCCTTCTCGCAAAATTATGCGTTTCATTGATTGATGCGAGACAACATGGAGCAATTTTCACGGTTGCTTTTTGTGCGTTCCTCAACCCTCGAAGAAGTGTGTACAATCGTCGTAACGCGTATGGCACAGTGCGTAACTGCGTATCACGCGCGTAATCACGGGATAACTGGCTGTCGTAGTTGGTTGATGTCGTTGCAGGGGGTCCCGGACCGGATAATTTCATTAGACGGAGCACCGCAGGAGTTGTTCTCCTCCCCCCTCCCCCTCCGTGAGCGAATGAATCGAGCGCGACGCAACCTGATGAGCAGTCGGCGTCAGGTTGTTTACTAAACACCATCGTTCTCTTGAAATCAGCAATAGCGGAAGGGAAATATGAAATTACGATACTCTGTGTAAGATTATCCATTACGTTTTTCGCAATGTTATTAAAACGCATCTGTTATTCAACTTTCGCGTTACATCAAATAGCGATGTAAATTAATAAAGATCAAAATTCGACATATATGTATATTAGTTTTCGCGTACGATAATGTTGGAGTATCGTAAGAGTATAATTTTTAGAGATTCTTTTTCTCTTTACGCGACCATAAAAATTTGCATCGATAGAGCTAATTCGAGGTGAGGCGGCCACGCATCTCTTTTTCTCCGGGGCTTCAATTTGAGGACGTGGTAGCGTTCGTGCCGCCGGTGTACACGAGATACGCGAAGGGGGTGCGAAGGGGGTCCGAAGGAGGCCAGAGGTAAGGAGGGGACGAGGTGAGGAGCAGGGAGGTAGTATACTTGCTCACGCGAAGTACACACGGGCACACGCTCTCGCTCTCGCATGGATGTATACGTTAGGGACGTGGACATCAGCACGCCTGTCTGCGTTCCTGCCACGTACCTTGGGCGTGGTGCTTCCTTTTTCTTCCTCCTCGTCACGACTAACGTGCCCGATCTCTCCTCATTGGCCCCGGGAATGCGAACACGTCGAAGCGAGATTCGAAAGTCGCGAGAAGGAAGCTCACGAGTACACGACGTGAATTTCAAATTCGTCTCTGTCATCCCGTCTATCGCGGCGGATGCGACGGGATTAAGCATCTTCGTAGCTTTTGCAACTTCGGGGAGACGAGAATCTCGGGGGGGCGAGACACGACAAGATGAAATAAATTAAAAGAATATCTGTTCGTACTTTCATGCCTCATATGTAGCGTTACAAGTATGCATCAGTGCTATTACATCTGTCTTACATCCAAAATTTGGATCAAGAGCGAATTAAATTTCCATAGAAATCCAGTATGAACATCATAATTTTTTTTTATTTAAAGCGAACTTTATACACAATTTCTAGATTCCAACTTGCACTGAAACTTTTATGTGAAGATTGTATAGATTCTTATCTAAATGCGGGTTATAAATAAGGATTTGTAACGACAGATATCTTTTTGCGGTCAAAGCTTTATTCATTAAATTTTCGAATAAATATAAATTGTCGGAAAGCTGGCGCGAATCGCGCTCAAGGTCCTCGATAAATCTAACCCCTATTACGAGATCATGCGATATAGTTTTCGCGGAAAAGCATTACGCACATAATCGAAAACATCGCCCATGACTACCGTTCGCTATCATAATTGTCTCGGTATGTTGAAATATTTGCACAAGAATCTACAGAAGAGAAAAAACTATTAATGTAAACCGACGAAGAAGTGGAAACAAAAAAATTACACATTGTATAAATTACAAGACAGATTTTCAGAGGGGAAGATTGTGACTAATTATTCCAATACACGTTAGTTAAATTTAAATTATTATGGATCGATTGATGGGTTTGTTTGCATTTTTATGATATATTGTATATATTAAATGACATATTTTTAATTGACATATAATAATTAAATTTATTGATGATTTCTACTTGTTTACATCTCTAAAGTATCTCTTCTAACTATATCTTGTGAAAACTATTTGGAAATTTTAAACATATTCATATCTATATAAATAACTTGCAAATGATTTAATCTTAAAGCTTTGTCGCAATTTCGTAAAATTATTTTATAACGAAACCAATTTCTAACCCGTTACATAAATAATCACTAAAGACGCTACAGCGAAAATAACATGAATACGCGAGATGAGAAGCGACGCTGGATTCGGAGAACCTTTACGTCGATCGTATCCATCTCAAGAGAGCGAAAGAGCGAAGCGGATTAGCCTAGATCATGTTCTTAAGATCCTATCCACTCTCTTGATCAGTTCTCCATATCTCTCTCCCTCTCTCGCTCGCGATTAAAATCATTACGCCGTTTTTCTCCCTTTTTCCGGCTACCGTCGTAATGCCTACTTGCGAAACGCTCCGTCGTCCTTGTCTTCGTGGCAAACGTCGATTTACCGATAACCGGCCGTTGTGTCTCCGTTTTGTATGTATATTTCCACCTCTTTCCC